TTTCATTCCCATGAAATGAGGAATAACTGAAGTAAGGACTTTCCCAAAATATTTCTGATTTATCGAAAACTTTCAAAGTTTCATTCCGAAATAAATAATTTATTACCGAAAAGGGTATAATTCCACATTTCAACGTGTGTCATTGCATTTAATATACAGAGAAACGATTCATTTGGGACTCTTGAAATATATTCACACCAAATACCCTTTGTCTCTTCAATTCCTATTAAAATATTCTGATACATGATAATATAATTTTATTTTAGTGTACCCCACTCCCTGTTGTAATATGCATTGTTGAAACAATTCCACCATTCCCGTTCAAAGAAACGAGTATATTCAAAGAAAATGGTATAGTCGCTCTTCGTCTCTCGCCTTTTCTTATTCTTTTAAAGCTGGAAATCAAGATAGGTTATTACGTAAGGGGTGTGCACACACCAATAATTCCAGTACAGTACTGTCATTTTTCGTTTCAATATTTTGACTTTAAAAAATTTCTTTAATGAATTCTAGCAACGGTACACAATGTTTTGGATTACGAGATAATTAGATGACAGATGCCTCCCCGCCTGGCATGATTTATGTATTGAAATATGTAGAAGATTAAAAAGCGAATACTGTATCTGTCAACATATTCTATTGTCAGCATAGTCAACATCTAATAGATTAAGGGCTGTAATTGAAAGTGTTTGCAACATAACTAAATATTATTATAAATGTTTCATCAACAATATTAAATACAATTTATTGTTAAGTTAAATAACTTATTGTAAAAATATTTTAAAAATTTAAATCAGTTATATAAAGTAACAACGTTTTCTGACTACTACTTTTAAAATGATTTATACTGTACACACTGTTTTTGTTAACACTTAAGCTTCATATCATATTTGTTTAGGAAATAGTGTAACAACCAGATCATTTTTATACTATTTTTGATTTGAAATATTCGCATTAGAATCATAACCGAACAAGTCAATATAAAAGAAAAATAAGTGTGATTTGTATGCAGATTGAATGTTTCAATTATCAGCCAAGAGCACATCATGATCACATTTCTGTTGGTTGTAAGTTAATTATTCCTCTAATATCTAACTCATAATGATCTTGAAAAAGGTAAAATTTAATGAATTTAAGAAACTACGATTAAAGTGATAATAAAGAACATGGTCTTTTCATACACAAGCAAGAAATTAGCGAGTCAGGTGATAGTTCCATTTCTTATAATATTCCTGTCAATGTTCACGGGTTATAGGCAGAACTGTTAACTAATTTTGTATTCTCTTGGATGTTAAAATCATAATCGATCAACGTAATAATATGCCAGCATGACAATGCAAACGTTTCTCTTATAAATTTGTTTGTACTACATGTTATAACTTTCTAGTTACCCATGTGAACTTCAATTGTTTCAAAATGTTTTAAAAAATATATATTAACCTATGGCTGTAACCACTTTTGGGGACAATTCCTATCCAATTCAGTTTATTTGAGCTTCTCCCTTTTTTAAGTTTCATAAAACATTGAAAATAAAATCAGGATAACTTGATCCTCATCCAGAATTGTCTTTATGATTTACATTTTATAGGCCGTCTTAGATGTTTCATTTACATACTTATACCATATAAATCTAACTCAAAGCTGTTCCTAGACAAAATATGGATATAACATGCAAACTTAGCATTATATCTTAGCACCACACTGCATACAGCTATTATAGAGGCGACATAGATACAAGATCCTGTTACATCAAAGGGTTATTGAATATAAACTAACACTATCTATATTTTGCGGAATAACAATTCCATGATACATTGAGCAACATATGAATATTTTTATTATTATTCTAAATATATTCATTATTGACCTTTGCAGATAGACCAGTCAAGGGATGAACAACTTGACAATGAACATAATACTAAGTGCTTTATGTTAGGTCGTTAGCTATGCTGCATCATATTTTCTTCATTTCGTATAAAAAATTGCAATCAAAATCGCATTGAAATACAATTTGCATCAATTCCGGTAGTGAACATTCCAACTGCTGAAAAAGCTTACACATCTTCACAGGATGTAATGATTTGAAAATGACTAGACACTTGATTTAAGATGTGAGCGTTGCCTTTGCCTTGTTGATCTTTATTTTCGTTATTTTAAGATGCCATTCCAACTCATTGTGAAGGGTTCATACGAGGATTATTAATTTTGCTTTTGTTTGTATACTAGAGATGTTCTTATATTTTGACTAAAATAAAATGATTAACTATGCAATGTCAAGGACATACAGTAAATGTGTATATATGTATACTATGTAAATTGACTGGTTTTTATATTTCTGATATTGCAAACATAGAAATGTACAGCGAACATGAATGTAGGAATAAAATTTGTAGACAACGTTACTGTTATATTTTTCTGGTCCTTCGGGGTCATTGATGCCAGCACTATTAAGTGTTGAGAATTGAGTACCGCTCAAGCCGGTGCTAGGAGGCGTGAGGGAAGCTGCACTTATTCATTATCCTTCATGTACATACTCAATCAAACCTAGTCTGCAATTCTTATGTAACTTTGTTGTGATTAATGCTTCCGAGAGATCACTTTGTTTCCAGATTTTTATACTACACAACAGCAGGTGTCAAGTGCTGTGTGGCAGCTGTAAAAAGTTGCCCCGTACTTAACTTCATTGTTGTTATATTTTTCTGGTCCTTCGGGGTCATTGATGTCAGCACTATTAAGTGTTGAGAATTGAGTACCGTTCAAGCCGGTGATAGGGGGCGTGAGGGATGTTGCACTTATTCATTATCCCTCATGTACAGACTCAATCAAACCGACTCTGCAATTCTTATGTAATTTTTTGTGATTAATGCTTCCGACAGATCACTTTGTTTCCAGATTTTTACTCATGATGGTTCAATTAGGTATAACTTATCGCATTAAATGTTCTTTAAAATAAAAGTGCAGTCAACGTTTCTCATGCTGGTTCAATTAGTCATAATATATTGCATTAAAGTTTCTGTACATTAAAAGCTTTCATTGCAATTCATTCAAGGTATTCGAAATGATAATCCTTCAGACTATGTAATGCATCATCGAAATAAAATAAATAGTCTGCATATATTTTGCGATAATAACTTCCACTGTGGTGTCAAAATAGATTTTTCTAGGTTATTTGCTGCCTATGATTAGAAAAAATATATAAATTACACATACGGAATTATAGTAAAATACTTTTTTGCGGTCATTCTTTGTCATATCTCAAATTCAGAATAATTATTAAAAAGAAATTGCAATTAGTCAAAGCAAGATTGAGTTCCATTTTAAATATATAGTATGAACTCTTTATCACAAAACTTTAATCATTAGTATTTATTAAACTTTACTAACAACATCAAATATGCGTTAACGACTTGTGGGTATGATCTCCAATCTCAATCATTTTTTTTGTTCCACCCTTCGTCATTTTTTTTTAAACATGGAAGATTAAAAGTTTATGACATACTTAGCAAAATTTATAATGTCATTCAATATACAAAAAATATAATATGATGTGAGTTATTTGGTATAGATCTAATTATGTATTGACATGAAATGGAAATGAAAACTACAGTAAAATGTTAATGGCTGAGAATTGCCATCCTTAAAATAAGAACACACACACACACACACACACACCCACCAACACACACACACACACACACACACACACACACACACACACACACACACACAAACTCACACACAATAAAACGACACACGTTTAACATATTGCAGGCTAGGTTTGACTGAGGTATCGTTAACGTCTTCAGTACAAGCATAAAATAAATTTAACTTGAGCATTTGTTTACTGAGTGATTTGAAAAATTCAAATTGCGACTTTTGTAAGAGGAAAACTGTTGTTTATTATCTTAGTTATAAAATGCGAAAATATTGCACTAAGAAAGCATGTTGTTGCTACGCCATTTCGAGATATTTCTTATCAGATACAACCACAATAATAAGTAGCAAAGCATGTGTCACTTGAAAAAATAACAACAAGCATATTCTTTTAAATTCGATATTATTAAACATTGTGTTAACCTGTTTCAGTTTTGGTTTTGGCCGAAGGCTATACAACTGAAATGTCGAGGGCTCTCATCAAAATGTGAAACTGTCAGCATTTAGTTAGAGGAATATTATATAATTATTGAAAAGTATAAAGAAATTATATATATTTTTTGTTTACCATCCACATTTATTAACATGCTGATACTCACAATATATTTTACAATATCCTATTCTTCTAGAAAATGTTTCAAAGATTTTTGTTTAACACGACAACAAGATTTAATCTATTAAAGGGATATAACATCGAATATAAAACCATGGCAGAATGCTGGTTGAAAAACGCGAAGAATGTCTGAACTTACAAGTACAATGATCAGTTATGTAACAGCTTTAATTAAGGTACTGAAGGATTGTAGAGAATTTGAATCCATTAAAACGAAAACGACCAAAGACGGCGTGTTTCAAGCTCGATTTAAATTAACCATTTTATGGACATTTAAGGAAATCTTGGTTAAACATTTTCTATCTGCCAACGATAAAGTCATTTGCTTTTGACTCATTCATATGCCAGTCATGCTTAAGTAAAACACTTTATTTTCCTGATGACATATTTCGAAAAACCTTGTATAAATATAAAAAATATAACGTTTTCTTTAACACAGGTGAATATTGTTAGCTTATACTAGTTGTATCCACGTGTTTCAAGTGCAAGAAATGTCCGTATGCGTTCAAAACGGTTCAAATAGAATCTTTTTCTAACAGCATGAAAGAAGTTTTCGAATTCTTAGGCCTTAACATTTTCTATTATTCATGACCACATGTGGAATTCTTTACGTCATATACACCTTTGATACAATAGTACATTATGCATGACTAAAATGCATAAGCAGTCTTGTGACTTTTACGCGATATTGATTGGTTGTTCAAACTTGTTTAGTCGTGGGTTTTTCTCTCACTTTTTCACAATTTTGCAAACGACCGGCACTTTCACAATATTGCTTGCTATAGGTGCATGTCTAATATTTTTACTCGAATTAGAGAATAAAAATTTGCGCAATGACAGACATCTGTGAAATTGTTCTTATGCTATTTATCTGCATCTTTGTGATGGAGTACGGCATGGTCTCGTCATCTGTTGCTATAAATTGGGTAAAGTATCACTTTGAGGGAGAATCCTTTGAAGACAGATGCTCCGTGGAAAATACTCAATTTGTGAAAGACGCCGTTAAAAATCCAGTGACATGCAGTAAAATTTGTTACGATGACGATGAATGCAATTCCTTTTCATTTCAAGCGGATGGTCATAAATGCTCTGGATGCCGGGAGGTTTTGAAACCTTTCCCACCGGCTAACTCGACAAGATTTATACATTTTTCAAAAAGAGGTTCGTTAAATTTGATTCATTTAAAAACTAATAGGGTATTTCATGTTTCTTTTCGGATGCTGTTCTGACACCAACATTGGTCATTGACAGTTCAAATTTACTTGCTAAACACATCCAAGAAGCTCCAGTGAGGACTAAAATATAATATTTTAACAAGGATTAAGCGTGGCACTCAATATGGAATAATATGGAGATGATTTAAATGAAATATAAATATTTCTAATCTTTAAACTTGACGTGTTTGTGCAACTTCAGTTTAAGGTGCTTAATCGCTTTTCATTGTTGGGTCATTCTCACAATAAAAATAACTAATTTGGAAAAAACTAATTGAAGGAATGATTTGCAATATAAAAACCTAATTTCTTAGATTTTAACCAAATGGTACACACAATTACGAAAATCCCTTCTTGGTATTGAAGTCTGATTATCAAAGATAACATCACATTTTATTTGAATTTCATTTATTTTGTAATGGTAAATATTATTTTTGTGCTGGTCGTACTTATTTCATTTAGTTATCTGTTAAAGCTAGGACACTTAGGGAACATCAATAACGTTGATAAAAGCAGCATGATTCGAGATTCGTACTAATTTTCATGAACATTTGAAAATGTATTTAAAGTCAAGTTATTTACACATTGCAGACGACACTTGCAATCAACGTAAATGACCAAATATGGGTCAAAATATGAAAACATATCCCTCAATGCGTTAGTCTTCAAGTAGAAATATGGTGTTAACTGCCAAATAAGTCATTACGTGCATAAAACAAGTGAATCATTCCTTGAATCGTTTAATCGTTTAATATGTTGTTTTTTGTTGTTGTTTTTTTTAAATTTTGATACTTTTTTTTAAGTTTGCTTGTCTTAAAATATTCTAGTTCATCTCAAGGCATGCAGCTTCAACACACTTTTTGGTAAAATAAAATTTGGTTCCGGTTTTTAGTCTTATTAGATGTTAATTTTAAAAAAAATGAACGATATAATGACTAAAACATGTATCTATACTTCCTGTATCTCCAAATGAATTCTTTTTGTTTTATTTTAAGGATTCGCATCCGACTGCAAAGAAATTCTGGAAAGGAACAGGTTTGCTGACAGCGGTGTTTATACTATAGTAATTGGTGGCAACGAAACGCTACACGTTTACTGTGACATGACAACCGATGGTGGAGGGTGGACAGTATGTTTGTAGAATTTATTATCAGAACGTTTGTGTTTAAAACAAGCGTCTATAACTTCATAAATTCACGATTTCAACTTCATGAATTCACAATTTCAACTGCACGAGTTCAAGATTGCAACTTTCTGAATTCACAATTTCAACTTAATGAATTCAACTGCGTGAGTTCACAATTTCAACTTCACGGATTCACGATCCAACTTCACGAATTCATGATAACAAACGCCTCACGATTTCAACTTCATGAATTCAACTTCGTAAGTTCGTAATTTAAACTTCACGAATTCAGGATTTCATTTTCACGTATTCATGATTTCAACTTCATGAAGCTGAAATCGGGAATTCATGAATTCCTTTTTGTTGAAAACGTGAATTCACGAAGTTGAAATTGTGAAACCATGAAGATGAAATAGGAAATTCATGAAGTTGAAATGGCCGGAATTTCGTAATTTTGTGCGATAATTGTGGCTTGTTTCTTATTGTCTTTCATTGATTACTTTCGCATCACTTAATTTATTGACCATGTACAGTAGAACTGGAAGCGTTTGACCGCCAATAAAGAGGCTCTTTCAACGCTCCTTGGTATTGGTAGCTCAATGTTTTGTATTGTGATATAAGACATTACATTAGGCCACTCTTGAATTTCATCAGTGATGGTATAAACGCCTCATATTTCATGTCATGAAGTAAATTCTGATATGTTCTTACATTGTATTTAAGGTTTTCCAAAACAGATTTGATGGCTCAGTCAACTTCGAAAGAAACTTTGAAACGTACGAGAACGGTTTTGGGGACATAAATGGTGAATTTTGGCTAGGTATGCAATTTCATTCATTCATTCTTTCATTATTGTATTTATTCATTCTTTCATTCATTCATGTATTCACTTATTTATATTATATCTATAAAAGTCATTATGAAGCTAATATTAGGTGCCTGTAGGTAATAGTTTTTGTTTTGAAAACGGACATTTTGCGCTTTAACGTTATGAAAGAAATATGTTTGTATATGTCTTTCATTCACAAAATCTTGTCTTACTTATCGAGAGGCTACTGAAAAAAGCTGCGTTTAAATTTTGTAACGTTACAATTTATTCTGTTTATGTACAAATATTAATTTGTGTTAAATAACAGATCGGCAATAAGACAATGGATACATCTTTAGTATACCGTTTATAAGTAATTGTTTAAAAGATATTTTATGAGATAAATATTTATACTATTTAACTACTCAAGGAATATATTAGATTGTTTTACTAAAATGTAACATGCAGTTGTTAATATGGTTGCAGGACTTAAGTTCATCCAAACACTCACAGGAATACCGAGCGAATTCAGATATGATCTTGACTTTGATGATGATGAGCCATTGTACGAAAGATTTTGTCAGTTTCAGCTCACTGGCGCACAGTACACGCTATCCATAGACAATGAAGCCCTCAATAGTTCAGGTGAGATAGGACATTATATTCTAACCTTCAACCTGCTGGACTACAATAGCCATTGCCACAGAGCCAGACTAGTATGCACATAGGTGCAATCTAATTTGGAAAAAAACTAGGAAATATTTTTCCGAAACTTGTGTACCATTTAATGTAGGTCTAGACCAATAACTGGTGTGTAATTTTCCCGATGATTTTCTTGCTCAATTTTCTAAGAATAATCATTTTTATTGTGCAGAAGGACATACAAATCGGGCTAAGAATCACAAAAGATATCAACATATCAATATTCAATGTAATTATTAGCATATTTTCTTCCTTATCCTTGCATTTTCCCCCTTTCAAGCTCACTTGATCTATTAACTTTCATGTTTTTAGGCTTTTTTACTTCAGTGTAGGTGATTTGTCAGTGCTTTTAATGACAAACATCTCATATGTTCTAAATCGAAAAATATGGTAAACAAGAAAGCCGGCCGCCTTTCATAAAACAAGTGATTTCAAATCACAAAACACAAGTGATTTCCTTCCCTTTTTAAAGGTAAAAATTTGTATTATGTGTCTTTAACAGTCGCAATTACCATATTTTGCTCTTTCCCTTTAGGGGCAACGTTCGCGATCTTCAACGGAGCTCCATTTGAAGCATTCGCTCATGATCCTACGATTATCTGTGACAGTGGGGGTTGGTGGTATGGTAACAAACGATGTGACTTCATCCTAAACCTTAACACCGTGTACGGAAATGAAATGTACATTAGCCAGTCTTCTGGTATTCAGCCCGCTAGAAGATTTAAATCATCAAAAATGATGATCAGAAGAAAAACCTTTTTTGGATAAAACTGGATAGTTAAAATATAAGAAATAACAGAGGAAAAAAACAATTTTTTGGGTAAACTGTATAATGCACATATCTTCAAAAGTAATAATGAATTTAATTTAAAGTTCGGTAAAAATTCATCTATACACATTTATCACGGTAATATTGAGCATTATGAGAAAAAAATTGTGGGATATGTCTTAAATTTTGTTCTTATATCTTAATAGGCAAGGGGAATGGTTTTATAAGCGTACTTTTTAATATTTAAACAAGCTGTTTGCAAGCTGCAAGTACACAGTGTGCTGAAACAGTCATGTATTTTACTCACTCTTGCCTATATGGAGCTGAATCAATTCTATGTGCGATCTACTAAATTTTATTCTATCAACTAGTAAATTTCGTGCACATGATATTTTGTAACTTTATCACCAAGGACACCTTTGGTCGGTTCTTCAATTCTTAGATCGTCTATTTTTGTAAAAAGTAAAATGCAAATAATGTTATACAAAATAATCATGAAATTACCTAATAATGAAAACAATGATTATCAGAGTCTCACTAATAATTATGATTTTTGCAGTATATGATGTTCTAACGCACATTAAGGCATAATAATACTAATAATTATTTTTTGAAAATGTTGCACGTTTTTTTTTTTAATTTATCACATTGTTCTTGAAGTGAATTGGTGAAATTGGGGAATCTGTAACATCTGAATTATGTTGTTATAATTTACTAGAATTATACATGGCAAGAGCCACAATTGAATACGGAAACTCACATAATAAAGCTAAGTGCATGATATGATATGCAAACAAAATAGAAATGTTTAAATTATATATCTGATATTTTAGGTAGTCTGTGGTTTTTACATTTCACCTTCCTCTTTACAATAAAGCCGTAATAGCTTTTTCATTTTAATATTTAAAAAACATTTTTCTTATATTGACATCTTTTTCATGTGCTTTGAATACCGTTTAAATTGCCACAACATTAGACGAAGATACCAATTGGGTGAACCTAACCTAAACGAACAGAGATAGGAGGTATCTAAGTTCGCTTTGATTAACTGACAACAACAATAACAACAACAACAAACCATATAGACAACAATAATGGATCGATATTAAGATTCATTAACATAATTACTATATTAAAAAACAATTTCAATTACGCATTCTCCTGCTACGAATTGGTTATTTTATAAAATGGTTTTAATTTATCGACAACTTGATTTATAACCGTTAGGGGTATAATCCATATTTCAACGTGTGTCAGTGACAGACGACACATTTAGGACTCCTGAAAGTTTTAATGCCAGAGACCATTGGTCTCGTCAATCTATTTTCTTACTGCATAATATCAATATTTCCTTTTCATTATGATATAATAATATATTTTACATTAGAACCCTCCGTAACGAATTTAACTGACTACAGTTCCTGGAACATAACCTCTATGATAAAGCAAAGTAGAAAATAACGCTCTTTCGCCGATTTGTATATTTTACATTTATCATGATAGTATTAAAATTGTTAAATTAGACGTCTTGAAGTGCGTTTTAGCGAGTGAATTTAGCATTTACTCATCCAAGCGCCTTGCCCGATATATACCGATATACGGTATTTAGTCTGGTGTTCCCAATACTTGTTAAAGCAACTTAACACGTCATTTCGCTGAATTAAAATTTTCTTAAAAGAAGTACATGTACAGTTCTTCCCATCCTCTGTTGTATACAAATATAATATAGCTGACTCAGAGATAGAAACTAGAGACAAAATGGGAAGACGAAGAGCTTTTAAATTGTGGCAAATCATATTCCGAGATCAATATAATACCACCATTTGAATATAATTATCTGTAATCTAACAAGTAAAATAAATAACATATTATGTCGCGTTTATAACACCACATTGACTTTTGTACTTATTAAAAAAACAGAGAGAGCAGAGCAGGACAAATAAAAAAAATCTTTATTTTATGACATAAGCTGCTCAATACGCGCCTTTGTTATTAAAGTGTACAAAGCTATATATCCGATGCAAAAATTATTGTTTGAATTTTTAAAAAAGTATACTTCCAAAGTGTTTGTATAAAATAAATATGGTAATTTATTGCCTGAAAAGCGAAAAGCGCATACACAAAATCAATGCTAAACGGATAAAACCCATTTAAGATAGCGAAATGATAGATAATTTGTTCCGAAACATTTTATTCTGTTTGCGTACATTATTCATGTGTATTAGATATCAGAGACATTCTGTGTTACAACTTTTTTCAGGAAACAACCATATAATAATGGAACCAATTTAATTTTAATGTTGATAATTCTTATTAAAATATTTCATAAGATACAGATTTATACCCTTTAAATTAAACAATGAAATTGTGATAATTACGTACACATTGCATTCACAAATAGAGTGCAGTCGTTTTAAAACAATATTTTGACTTAAAAGGAATATTTAAATATAAAGAAATTTTATGTCTCTTACCATGGCGTGATTTATGTATTGAAAGAGTTCGACTTGTAACACATACTATGTACATGTATATAGTTGAAAACAAACACCATGATATCTATCTTCATACGCTCTTATCAGCATCTATCTAATACGTTTTACGGATCCAAATACCATGTGGAACCTAATGACACATAACAAATAAGATGAGAACTGTAAATATTGTATTAAGTTCGGATATTTGCGAATATACAATTATAATTTGTTGTGAAGTTATCTATCTTCTTGGTAAGTTATGTCACAGGTAAACACATCTCTTCTGTTTATTGTTTTTTTAAAATATCATTCTTTATACTGTACAAACTGCTTTGTTAAGTTAAACAATTTTTTTATTACTTTTTTATGTTCACACTTCATATCATATTTATTCAGACTATACAAATTGTAACCACGAGATCATATTTAAAACTAAATAAAACTATGGATTAGAATAGTCGTATTTGTATAAAAAAAATTACAAATTATATCAATATAAAAGAAAATTATCGATGTATTTTTATCGTAAAATACTCAAAATAAAACAAATGTTACTGCTATTATTGTTTGTTTTTGTATGAAATGATCATAGCACCAGCATCAGTAAATATTTTGTACAGTTCTATCAAATTAAAAGACCTATTGACCGGAAGCAATTTGCATTTGGAAAGACACACAATTGTATTTGGACACATTTTCACGGAAATAAAATCATTCACTAATAATGCTTTAAATGCATCACATTGTGTTTTCCTAATGAGCTTTAATGTACTCTATATGGAAAAAACTATGATTAAAATAATTCCCAATCTAAAATGTTTTCCCAGTTGGGTAATTAGATTAAATTATTTCATTGTCTTTGCGTGATGATTGGAACCTTCCGTTATCAGAGTTCAGTCAAATGCCAAGTGCATATAATTACTTGCTTTTGTAAACAGATGTGACTTAATTTGGACAATTTTGATATAATTATTGTGAAACACCGTGTGTCTTGTTGAGTCGAAAGCTGGGATAGGAAGTTTTTCGACATCAGTAGATATGAAGACAAAAACTTATAATTTAAATATTTACCTAGCAATCGCAATTAATTTCATTTCAGTCTGAAAGACTTGAAGAGTTTGTACCTAATCTTCTGCTGGTTGAAAGTTAATAAATCCTCTAATATGTAGATCGTGTTCTTTTTGTATTTTTCTTTGATTTTTAAAGAAATGGAAGCAGAAATACTAAATGAAGAAACATGTTGTTAATATATATTTGATACCAAAGCTAACAATAAAATGTTATCATTTCAATTAAAGAAAATATAATTAAATGTTTATCAACGATAATCATTATAACTTATTTAATTTTCGGCATGTACGATCGAATTGTTCTTTTGTCTTTTCAATACA